CATTTCTAATTTGCTTTCCTTTCCTTCCAACAACCCCAGAAGCCTCTGACAGTTAAGCCCCTTGTCAATTTTAGGTCACGTTCTCCAATTTTGTCCATATGTAGACCCCAGGCCTTAGGACTTTCTATTTCTTTTAAATAGCAAGCCTCTCCTTCCAATGTCTACAGAGAAGAATCAAATGTCACAGCTCCTTGTTACTTGTTGACCCCTTACCAGCCCAGTTTTGCCATGGCCGTGGAGCCAGTTACTGACCGTGATTTCCCAGGAATGGACATCGGGAGTCCCTGCCCCATACATGGATGTAGAACCCATTCTACTGCTGGCACTTGCCCAAATCCACCCTGAGTTTGTTGTATTTGGAGACGCTGTGTTTTAGGGTATGGAGTTGTCCTTGCAGTTGGGTCATGTTCCCTCTGCTCTCAACAGACACAGATTTATCTGGAAGCAAATGATCTTGCCCTTTAGAGCCCATCATATGCTATGTACTGACCTTTTCAACATTGTATATCTAATTCTGTATTTACATTTTTAATGCCCTTCCATGGGTTGGATTTGGGTTGGGAAAATCCAAATGATTTATAAGCAAAAATGCTATAACCTATGGAAAACAAATAGGGCAAAGATGTGTCTTAGCTATTCTGGGACTGGAGTTGCAGTTGAGGTGAGGAGTGGACCAGCCAAGGTTGGAATTAGGGTCACAGTCAGGGGCGTTCTGAGAATGAAGAGAAGCATGGAAGGGTTGCCAAGCTCTCCACTCACCCCTGTAACATGTATGGGCGTGGGTACCCGAGGGAGCACCGCAGAGAATAAAATCCAAGAGAGGACTGAAAGCTGATGAGATCTGATTATACACTCCCAATCCACACACAGACCAGTGCTCCGAGGGCTGAAATTTTATAGACCCTGGGGGCTTAAACAAAACCTCTGTCCAAATTACTGACCACTATAATACGCCCGCCCCAGGGCAACCCATAGAAAAACAGGATAAAACATAAAAATGAGAATTAAAACCTGAGCAGAGCTGCCCATTGCTGGACACTTTGGAAGGGAGTTAGGGGAGTTGACGGGGAAAATCGATTGTGCAGATTAAACCAGCTCACCACTTATTAAAAAAAAACTCAAAACAATAAATCGGAGTCCATATTTGGTATAAGATATTATCAGAATGCTGCTGTGCAAGGAATCTCACGTACTTATTTACATCAGTTCTGCCAGGAATGCACCGATGACACAAAACAAAACCTTCACTGATGGATGACCTATCATCAGCATTCCTGATACACCAGCAATTATTCTCAAATACCAACCATCTCCCCATAGTTGTTCTGCCCTTTTCCTCAAGGCATCTGTCCTCCTGGATGATTCTAGAATTCAGAAACTCACGTCATAGTGAAAATTAGGAAGTCATAGCCTAAGAAAGATAATAACTTCTTTATTAGCAGCGATTGCCTGTGTACCTGACAATCCATCAGTGACATTCATGGAAGCGCCACTAGGTGGCCACATAGCTAACGAATTCCTGTTAGCTGGAAAAATGCTCCAGGCTGCTGCCGTCCCTTTTCCAGACAGCACTGGGCCTTCAAAATCGTGACTTCAAGTAAATTTCTTAAGGAATGTGATCAATTTCATTCTTGATTATTACAGAAGGAAATCTAGGTGAATTGTTTCAAACACCGTGTTAATCCCTGGAAAAGTTGCGGATGGAAATAGGCAATCAAGAACCATATCCCTAAACAAAAGGGGAGCTGGGCTCTCAGCTGGAAAGCTTTGAATGGAGGTTTTACACTGGAAGGATAAATTTTCTTTACTTTTTGAGTCATGAAGTCCAATCACTGGTGTTTGGAAAGACCCTAAAAAACCCAGGCTCCTGAAAAACTACTGTCTAGTTTTGTTACTGTTGTTTAATTACATATATTATCTGGTTTCTTTCTTTTTTTTTTTTTTTTTTTTTTTTGAAGGCCTTCAAATTAGCTTGGCTGACTGCTGTCATGGAAACTGGAAGGGCTCCCACCTCCTGGGGGATGTATAATGGATGGTGAATGTCAGAAGCCTGCAGCCTGTGTTACTTATCTGACATTGTGGTGGACTGCTGACGACAATTGATGTCCTCTACTAATCATCGTCATGGAGTGAGAAATATTGATTCGATTCCTAGGCTTTTTTAGAAGCTTCCTGATCACTTTCCAACTGAAGGTCAGGCTTTTAGGAAACTCAAGAGCTGATGTACAGGGCAGTGATGGTCTTGTGGGTTGGACAGAATCCATTAACATCTGTCTCCAGGAACAGTTGTAATTGTGAGATATATGTAATGGGTATTGATTGCTAAGAAAAGAAGATACATATAACTTTAAACCTTGGAAGTCTCCAAGGACAAAAAGTATAGAAAAGAGGGTTTGGGGATCGCAGGAATGCTTGCTGGAAAGAAACTGTGTTACAGCCGTTGTAGAGGATCTTGGATAAGTAAATTCAAAAGCCAAAATCTCTTGCCCAAGGATACCAGAGATTTGCTACTTCAGCAGTGGGAACAAACAGCATTTAGTGAGTGCACACTATCTGTCAGACATTATTCTAAGCACTTTATATGTATTATTTCATTTAACTTAATGAGTTAAATAATATTACTATTTTCATTTTACAGCTTGGGAAATTGATATCAAAAAAGTCAAATCTCTCAAAGGAGAGATAGCCGATTAAGTAGTATAGTCATAATTCTAAGCCAGGAAGTCTAACTCCAAAGAGCTGGCTTTTAATCATTATTAAGGTGCTGATATAAATATAATTTTGACAGGGAACATGCACAGCCCTCACCCCCAACATTCAGAACTGTATAAATATCTCACTCCCATTCTCTTCTTCCGTCTACCGTTCACCATACTTCCCAACCACAGTAATAACGGTGCATGAGTTAACACAGCAGGAAGGAAGAGCAGAGCCAGGCAGCTGTCACCTCCCAATTCAGCCAACGCATGGCTGAGATGCTGCTGCCCAAGGCTGTATTTGGGATGTATGTATTTGGGGATGGACTAACATTTCAACACTTTGTGCAGCCCTCATTGGCCCCTTCCTAGCAGGCACTTTGTGATCCTTGAATCTTTCCCTTGTGTTATAGTGACTTCAATGTCTGGATGCTTTTTTTTTTTTTTTTTCCAGATGGAGTTTCACTCTTGTTGCCCAGGCTAGAGTACAATGGCGCAATTGCGGCTCACTGCAACCTCAGCCTCCCGGGTTCAAGCGATTCTCCTGCGTCAGCCTCCTGAGTAGCTGGGATTCCAGGCATGCACCACCACACCTAATTTTGTATTTTAATAGAGACAGGGTTTTACCATGTTAGTCAGGCTGCCCTTGAACTCCTGACCTGAGGTTATCCACCTGCCTTGGCTTCCCAAAGTTCTGGGATTATAGGCATTAGGCATCGCATGCAATCTGGATGAGGCTTTCTTAACAGAATAGACCTCAACCTGGGTGGTGCTTTAATTCAGCTTAGTGTGTCTGGCCAAACTGTCTGTTGCTGTCTCTGGCATCACTATGCATAACAGGGAAGAGAGTGGGCCAGGGAATGGCAGGGGCCAATAAAGAGATAGAGCCCTCTGTCAACATTTTCTTCCTTGCTTGAATCAAATGAAGAATGCACCACATGACGGCCACTTGGAACTCATAGGGAAAGGTATGGCATCTATAAAGCATCTTCCAGACCCCAGGCACCTGCAAGATGCTATTACATTTCCATGAAATGCACAAGGTCCATAGAAAGGATTATTTTACAAATGAAAAGGCAAGGGATAAGAGGTCCTCAAACACACAGGCAAGAAATGGCAAAATAGGACTCCCAGGCCTCAGACAAAAGCCAACATCTGAACCGTAACTCATTCCAGTTTTAAGAGTGACAACAGCATCACAATTGGCCACTGAATGGCCTCAGAGTTCAATCCTGCAAAAAGTAGCTTTGATGTTGAAAGGGGCCGGGTAGCAGAGATCAGTGAGTGGGCCCTCCCCAGTCCTAGCCAAAAAGAGAACAGTATCCATTTCATTTTCACATTTTCAGGTCCTTCAAAGTCATTCCCGGAGGGAGAAAAAAATTAAAAGATCTATTGTCAGTCTAACAAGATTCAAGAGAGGAATCACTGGATGGATGGAAAAATGTGAGTTGATTTAGACAAAGCCTTTAGCATTTAAAATACTCATCACCCCATAACTAATCTATTCCTTTCTCTCACGTTGTCAGCGTCAGTGTCTTGATATCAAAGTGTTTGTTGATAAGCCACAGATGGGGAAATAATGGTTGGAGTGACCTCCTGAGCTTTCAGGTCATTCCCCCCTCTCCCTTAAAGTCCTGTCTCAGGGTCGGGCCTCCTCAGCTCCACCAGGGAAAGCAGCTGGACAGTCATCTGATCTCTGAAACGTCTCCTGGTGCTCTCTCTGAAGAAGGACATTTCCCAAGTCTAAGCTATCATTACCTACTGCAGTCTTCTGTCTGGCTGAGGGAAGGAAGAAATAATCTGCTAAGTAGCACACTGAGCAAATCTGATGCCTCAGTCTTGAGGCACTGCCAAGCAATTCAGAAGAGAAATAAATCAATTCATTCCATCTCGTTAATGGTGCCGTGGCTGTTTAACAGGTTTCTGTGCTGAAAATATCACCAGCTGGACACGGTGACACTTAATATCGCACCTTCAGAAATGAAATGTCAGGCACAAGCCCAGTCTGGTGTCATCCTCCTGCCCTGGTTCACTTGAATCTTCAGGAGAAAGAACACTCAGGCTCAGAAGGAACAATGATAAAATGGCAGATAAAATGACATCACCTCCTGCATCACAGAACAGGCAAATTATAAACCTATTCACTAGGCTCCCTCAGTGACTCCTCTAAATAGAAACAATAACAACAAAAAGCAGAGGCAGAGATCAAGAACAACTATAGATTTCAGGGGAAAAATTATACAAATAAGCAACAAATATGGACTGATGTCACGTACATTCTGTTTACTTATCCATTCACTTTTTCATTCAACATATACTCATCTCATACTGGCTGTGTTGGAGGATTATTCTGTGGACATGAAGATATGCAGGTGTACAAGCCCTGCCCTGAGGTAACCAAGCCTCGTAAGCTAGCAAAACAGGCTTCTAAATGGATGGTCATAAATTATGTGATGTCTGTATCAAAATGTCTCATGTATCCTCTGAGTATACATACCTACTGTGTACCCACAAAAATTAAAAATTAAAAGATGAAACATAAAATACATTACCACATATATATGAAAACTGAAATCACTGTTTAACTTCATTGGGCTTTGGGAAAAAATAGAAAAATAAATTAATGTGATACATGGCACCAAAGAGGAAGGCAGTGGGTGAAATGGCCCAGGGGAAGGAAGAGGAAGTGTGTAATGCTCGTTAGAATGGAGAAGGCATCAGAGAGGCAACTTTTAATCAAGGTCTTAACAAAGGTACAGTGGTCTGCTGTAATTATATCATAAGGTACATAGGAAAGCATGGTATGAGAGTAGATCAAAGTAGGCTACCTAGGGTATTCTATGCTCTGGTTATCTGTTGTTGTTCTTGTTTCAGACAAGGTCTTGCTACGTTGCCCGGGCTGAAGAGCAGTGGCACAATCTCAGCTGACTGTGACCTCCACCTCCCAGTTCAAGTAGTTTTCTTGCCTCAGCCTCCCATGTAGCTGGGACTACAGATATGTACCACCATGCCCAGCTAATTTTTTTTATTTTCTGAAGAGATAGAGTTTCACCATGTTGGCCAGGCTGGTCTCAAACTCCTAGACTCGTAATCTGCCCACCTCAGCCTCCCAAAGTGTTGGGATTACAGGCATGAGTCACTGTGCCTGGCATGCTGTGAATATCTTAAAGACAACTGACTTGGTAAATTAACTTAAATGAAAGTAACAAGGTAAAATTTGTTTTAGAGGGAAAGAAGTCATGATTTTGAAGGTTAGATGAGAGAACACTACTGTACTCTCCAAGTTAGAAAATATGAAACCTCAGAGAGACAGGGGTGGTAGAAACAGATTAAGGGAGGGCTTCAATAAGTTATTTTCTGATTGGGTGGAGGGAACAGGGTTGAGGTGGAGGGCAGAGCTGATGTTGTCTTCTATGTTTCTGATTTGTGTGGATGAAGCTTCATTGGTTCCTTCACAAAGAAAAGAAAAGACAAAAGAAAAGTGAAGCTGGTTAGATTGGAGATGAGAACGGAACTTAAGTTTGATGCATTTTTAACTTTCTTATGTAAATAAATATAGCGAATAAATATAATGATAAAAGTATACTGGTTAAGTTTGTGTAATCAAACTGGGGAAAGTGGGATACTTACCACCTTAAATATTTAATTATTTTATGCAAGAAACATTCAAATTTTTTCCAGTTGCTTTGAAATGTGATGTACAATTGATGAATGTTAAGTGTAGACACTCTATTCATGTATCCTGAAAATATGGACACCTATTATATATCAACCAAAAAATCTAAAAAAAGTATACTGAGAAATAATTACTCAGATAAATTTCCCTTAAAAAAAGATTACTTAAAAATATACATTCGATTCTACTCAGTTATTGTGCTAACAGTTGGCTGTCTAGAAGCTTGGACTAGGAGCACAGGGTATATAGTACAGGGTAGGTTTATCAAATATTGTTGTAGATTTAAAAGAAACATGTTCCTTTTATAAGTTTTGAAAACAAAGCCCCATGAAGTTAAACAGCTAGTGGAAAATAAACAAGACATGGATGATTCTGCAAACAGGATCCAACTTCACTTGCTTCTCATGTAGTACATGGTCCCTGCTCATCTGCAGACTCATTGCTGAGACAGAGAGTCTATTAGGCTATTCCAAAAATTCTCTGCAAACTGCAAAGACTTTACAGCTCTCCTGAGTAAGCCCCTCTAGAACTTTTACTCTAAGCCCCAATAAAGGCGTCTCAAGGGGGAAAGTTAAGGTCCCCTCAAGCAAGAAAGGCAATCTATTTGAAAAGAAAGAATGACATTTTTATCCTATTCTATTTTCCTTGTTTCCCTGTCTTAGAATGCCAAGTCCAGTGTAAATGTTTAATATCTTTTATATCGTCCATGTCTCTACATAAGTTTTTGAACATACTGAATATTATAAAGAGTGTTTTGATATCCTAGTCTGCTAAATCAAACATCTGTGTCTGTTCTAGGTTAATTTTGATGAAGTTTTCTTTTTATGTAAGACGTCTACTTTGGCCTTACTTTCCGTTATGAGAAAAAGCTCCCTGAGGCCGCACCAGAAGCAGATGCTGCCATACTTTCTGTACGTGTGAGCCTGTGGACGTGTGAGCCAGTTAAACCTGTTTTCTTAATTATCCTGCCTCAGGTATCTCTTTATAGCTGTGTGAGAATGAACTAACACATTCTGTGAAATATAGCTGCCTTACTTTACTTGGATCCATAGCTGCTCCTCACTTCAGGGAATCTGCTGGGCTCTGTCTGGGTTCCCCCTTCTTTGTGCTGCAGCCTGAAAACTCTCAAGGCAGTGAGCTTGGGAAACCAGATGGTTTGCCTCCTTCATTTCCAGTCTCTCAGTATTCATCAGCCTTCACTGTTGGAGGGCTTGTACCTTGAATTGTTGTTTTCATACTGTTTGCCCTTAAAGTTTTTGCAGTTGTTCCAGATAAGAGGGTAAATCTGGTCCCTGTTTCTCTAGTTTGTGCCTGGTTGGATCCAAGTAAAGAGTGAAGCTGAACTGTGGCTTCCCTACCTGGCAAAATAATGAACAAGAAAGCTAAAGAAATATGCCTGGTACAAAATACCAAAAGGTTCTGAAAAGTTCTGGAACTTTTTTAACTTTTAAATGCACTGCTGTTTTAATAAGAAAGTAAAGGTTATTCTGAAACAATGAGAAACATAAATCCAGAAATGTAAGCTAAATACAAACCACTTTAATCCCAACCTCAATGTTTCATCTCCCAATAAGTTTCCTGTGAACACGAGACTATATTTCAGAAAATCACAGAATAGAACTGGAACTAAGTCATCCAGAGCAAGGTTCAGTACAAAAAGTAAACAACGATGTTAAGACTCACAAATATGGCCAGGCAAGGTGGCTCATTCCTGTAATCCCAGCAGTTTGGGAGGCTGAGGTGGATGGATCATCTGAGATCAGGAGTTCGAGACCAGCCTGGCCAACATGGTGAAACCCTGTATCTACTGCAAATACAAAAATTTCCTGGACTGCTGGTCTGCACCTGTAATCCAAGTTACTCGGGAGGCTGAGGCAGGAGAATCACTTGAACTCGGGAGATGGAGGTTGCAGTGAGCCAAGTTCACCGTTGCACTCCAGCCTGGGTGATGAACAAAACTCCATCTCAGAAAAAAAAAGTCTCACAAATATTAATTTTGGAAATAATAGACTCAAAATATAAAATAAGTACATTCATTCAAAAAGTTATAGGATGACCAGAAAAATAGAAATATCAAATAAAAATAGCCTGAATATTTAAAACATACATAACATAGTTGAAATTTAAAATGCAGTGAATGTGTTGAACAGCATTTTGTACATAAGCAAAGAGATGTTTAGTGAGCTTTACAGCAATTCTAAAGAAGGTATTCCGAAATACAGCATACAGAGATATAGTTGAAAAATAAAGGAAGAGTTGAAAGATGTAAGAGAATGTAAAAGGGTGTAACATATCTAACTGAAGTGATGAGAGAATGGATTGGCATTATTCAAATAACAATGGATAAATATGTTTCAGTAAAGTGAAAAAGAAGGAGATGAAAAAGAAAAGAAAAAAATCTTCACAACTAGAGCATTTGAGTTTCCACACACAAAGTACTCTTCTTAGAAGTCATAGTAAAATTTCAGATCACAGGGTTTAAAGTGAAGAACCCAATACCTCCAAGAGAAAATACAGGTTATAAAAAAGGGATTAAAAATAGGATGGCATTATATTTCTTAATGCAGCTTGGGAAGTTAGAAGAAAAGGGAGCAAAGCCTTCAAGAGTGGAAGGAAAATGCACATCAGACTGCACTTACTTTGTTGCAAGACAGCATTTAATTCCTAAAACCGACAAAGGTACAAATGGAAGTACAAGTAACTTACTTAGACATATGGAAGTAGCTGGTGGTGGGAATTTAAAAGTACGGAATGTTTAGTACACAACAAATGAGAATTATAAGTGGTAACATATGGGACAGAAGCTCCTGTATTTCATTATAAATCTTTGGATACTATTTGATATCTTAAACTATGTGTACGTTTTATGAAAAAAAACCCTATTTTCAAAGAAGATAAAGTAGCTATGCATCACAAGATACAGTGAACTAATTAAAAAATTCGACTTATGGTTCATACAATTAAGTAACTTACAAAATTTTGCTAAAAACTTAATATATTTATTTATTGGGGAAATAACATAAGATGTATTTTTCTTGGTCTTCAGTGTATAAAGACCAAAATATCTAATATTTTATCTATTATTATATGACATATGTTTAATATATATAGGTGCCTATGGATCTGTGGATGGATAGATGATAGATTTATATATATATATATATATATAATGTTGTTTGTTTGTTTTTTTCTGAATTGCAAGTTGGCTTCCCTATTGGAGAATTTGTAGAATGAGGGGGTATGTCCACAAGGTTGGTTCAAGGAAGACCAGGACTGTCCCTTTATCATCTCTACTTCATGCCAGAAAGACAATGTGAAATTGTGACTGACAGACAATGTTGAGGCTGAGCCAGAGAAGCATGTGCAAAGTGGGTCCTTAAAATTGCAATAGAGGAAGCATCAAGAGTTTACATATTGAAATCAACTAGAATTGGAAAGCTAGGCAATTTGGGGAGAACTGGCTGAGATGAGGGAAGAAAATAAGAAGTGGCCTGGAATAATTCCAGAATGAGAGCCAATGTCTGCCACTAGGCTTGTACAGATTCTCCATATATGTTTGCACAAGTGAGTTCTTCCATTTAAAAAAGATGGGACAAAAAATGGTTTTAGTCTGTCATATAACAGAGCCCTCAAAATTAGAACCAATACATATATACCTAAAACACAAAGGACTGAATTTTGAAAATCAATCCATGGCCTCTATGAGCCCTCCAAATAGATGAACTTACCAGTCTGCAAGTGATCAAGACAAAACTCTTTGTTGCGACGATAAGACAGCATCATTGGATGACAGCATCACTATTATCTGACTTGACAGAATATCTACATCCTGCCTTTGACTAAAAAGCCTAGCCTAGAAGAAGGCTCATTTCTTCTAGGTAACGGGCACACTTTGCTTTAAGAAGCAATGTTAATATAGGAAGGTTAAAATCAAGGCTTTAGTAATAACACAAGGATTTTTAAAACAGATTTACTATTTTAATTAGAACCAATGATTAGAATGTCTTGTATTACATTGCAGTACTTATGAGAATTCAATTTTCCTTTAGTCACTAACATAATAATTTTTATGAGTGTATTCACAGGATGCACATATATATTAGAGAAGGTGGAAGATGGTTTTTAGAATTGTTATGTCACAAGAAAAATTTAAAAATGCACTAAGCTAGTGATATTAATACTTTCATTCATTTGTTAAAATGTTTCCCTTTTTCACAGTCAAATTTCCTACTTATGCAGTATAGTTTTCCCCCCATTATAAGCAGCACAAAGTTTTTCTTTAGTAACGTTGCATTTTGACAAGATATTAGAAATAAAAGAAATTCAAGTGTTATTTTAGTATTTTTTTAAGATCTGGGTTACTTGTTTAAGAAAGTCAGTGATAGCCCCCAAAATACTAGGATTTCTAATAGGTCCTCAGAGTATGATTGAAAAGGTCATGTCAAGACAGGGTCAGCAGTACACCTTGGCAGTGAGTGAGAGTTCGAATTGGCTTAGGAGATGGGATTGTATTTATCTGAAAGGAAGCATAACAGATACTCTAAATCATCCTTGCTCTTGGGAACTTACATCAGTTTAGGAAGAAGGACTAAAATGTACAGGAAAACAATCCCATGGTAAGTGGCACACATTAACCTTAAATAGACTGACTGCACAGGGTGATCTATCCTTATATGTGAGTTTGTGTGTTTGAACCTGAAGAACATTGTAAAATACTATTTTTTCAGGCTCTAAGCATGGGTCATTGTGGGAAACAGAAAACAAAACAGGCAAG